CCGAATTGCTCTGTCCATATATATATATATACGGCCGTGTCTGTCTGCCACATACAAAATACCATGTTTGTGAAAAGTGAATTAAAACCTTTATACCTTTTTTGCTTGGACGTCGTTCTTAGTCTCTGGGCTGCCCATATTCAATCACCTAACGTGTATTCCCACACCACATCTGCCTCCCATTTGATATACTTCAACCATCGTCTCAGATCATTACTCGTGAACCGCTCACCGGTCAGCCTCTCCACCAACACACACGGAGAGCTCTTAGCTGCACGTATACCAAATAATTACCCGAACTACCCACCCCCAGCACCTGTACCAATGTCAATACCATTAACTATCTTATTCCACCCCACTAACAACCAGCGCATCATTAACCCCTTCCTCGTCTACCCCCCCCCCCTACTCCAATACAAAACCATCATTTAACAACCAAATTCAAATCAATTAACTATCCATAAAGTATCCACCACCCTAACCCATTTCATGTCACATACAAAAACATAAATTATCCACTCCTCCTGTCATGCCAACATCAATAACCCTCAACAATTAATACCAATACACAATCCAGACCACACACAAGAGTTATTCTTATTCCCCTCCCTCACTAGGACACAAGTTATAATAAACACAAGTTTAATAATCCATAATTGACACAAATCTTTTCTTTAAATTATTAAACTGCATACAACCATCTCCTCTCCCTAATAATAACATCATACATTAATAAAAACCGTTGTCTGCCCCACTATCTTTCCCCCACCTTTGCACCATTCTCCCCAAAACCACAACATACATAACATTGTAGAGATATGTCTATCAATTCAACTCTATTACCCATGAGTTACTTTTATTATTCAATAAAACACAACCCTACTATTACCTAATTATCACTTCATCAAAAAACAATTATAAGTAAAAACAACTATTCTCCAATCAGTCAACTGACAATCCAATTCAAAACCATAATACGTCGGTCTTTCCCATTCTTCGGCCGCGCTGCTCAACAAACTTGCCGAGATAAGCATAATCGCCTGTATTGAGCTCATTGTGCTCCCCCCACATATAATATAAACTACTATTCGCATCATAATTACAAATCCATGACTCCAGAACTCTTTTTATCCAACATAACTGCCCAACCAACAACCCCATTTACCATACCCTTAAATCCCTATTGTTTTCCGGTTTGGATTGTCCATCTCGAACACCCAATACATCAGAGCCACCAAAATCCCTCCCATACCCTCTTCAAGTATTAGTGACTACCACCTTCGATTGTAAGGCATCACTCAGATAGTTAGCCATATCCTTGAACAAACAGTTGTTCAATTGCCCGTATTTGTTTACCTGTTTACTTTCCCCTTTCCCACTGTCCCTCCTACCACATAGTTATACCGTATTTCATGTTTCTACTTGTTTCCTTGAACCCACAACCTAAACGTTCCTATGCACATTCCCCAATTCCATATACACCAACATATCTTACCCTTCTCCACCACACTGCCAAATACCTCCCCTTATACAAATAATTTCATTACAACATTTCTTACACACCATACCTCAATTCTCATGCCCCATCGTCCCATACTAACTCATCATTCCGCCGCTTGACCACATGTGCGTTAGTGAAAGCATCTTCCCATCAGGTAAACCGCCTTCAATAACCGATTATCCCTCAGACCTCCAAATTAACTTTTGAACCTATAAAAACCGCTCGATATCCCCTTTAACCCACTATATATACTATCATATCCTCAGGGGTAGCCAACACCACCAACGAGCCACTCTGGCCCATATAAACTTCTGTAACATATTGTACACATCTCAGCGGACACACATCCATAACAACGTCCATACTTCCGTTTACACAAAACCTCCTAAATAAAAATTTAATCCAACACCCCCATTCACCATTGTAAATCACACAAGTATCCTTCTTCTCACAAGGTACTATCGTCACAAATACCACTATATTGTAAAATACCAGCCCAAGCTAATAGATATCCATCGTTAAACCCTCTCATCCATACATATTTAAAATCACCCACCACCTCATATTCCAGTGATAATCGCCTTTCTTTACCCATTTACACCCAGTACCCGTTCACCCCTCCTGATATAAATTTTACTCTCTTTTTGCACTTCCCTAATATAATGCCTATTAACCACCGGTTTCCATCTCCCCTCCGCGTAGCCCTCATCACTCTTACAACCACTTACCCCCCCTCCCTTTTTTAAACCTTCTTCCTATCACTCATTCTCCCCATTTTTTCACTCTCCCCAATTTTAAATTCCCCTCCCACTACCTTCCCCATTTCACCCCCTTTTATTTCCTAAATCACCCTCACTACCTTTCTTTTTCTCCCCAACCCTTTTCCTCCCCTCCCCTCAAACTTTCACCATCCCTCCTCTCCCTTTCTTTCACCCATACCACCTTTTTTATTTCCCATTTTCCCCACCCCATACCTTTTTTAACCTCCCTTATATACAAAATATACTCTCTTTTTCCACCTTCCCCCCTCCCCTTAAATTCCCCATATCTCCACCCCTTGTTTCACATCGCCTCCTCTTAGCTCACCTATCTCCCCACAACACTTACCCATCCACAGTTTTTAAACCTTTCCTACTCCTTCCTCCCCCTATTTCAATCTCCATTTTTAAAAATTTCCCCCCTCCACTACTTTCCATTTCACCCCCCTTTATTTAAATCACCTACCTCACTTATTTATCACCAAACCTTATTTCCTACCCTCCCCTCACAACCCTTTACCCACCCCTCCACCCCCCCAACTTATAAAACCCCCCCACCAAATAATCAAAACCCCCCCTCTCATTACCACCCTCCCCCACCCCCCAACATAAAAAAAATAATAACACCCACCCACTCCCTCTACCAAAACCCCTTTCCCAACTTCCTACCAAACTACATCCCCCCCCCCCAACCCCTAAAATAACCTTTTTTACCCCAAAATCCCTTTCTAACCCCTCCATTCCCCCCTCTCCCACCACAAAAAAACACATTTCCACCCCCAAACTACACCCCCCCCCCCCCCCCTACCCACTTCCCCCCCCCCCTCCCCACAAAACCCTCAAATAACAAAAACTCAAAAAAAAACCTCCAATCCTATCAACACAAAATCAACTACAAACTTCCCCCACCAATACTCATACACCTTACCACATATATTCATAAAAATCTTCCCTTCCCCTATCTCCAACCCCCCTTTTCCCCCAATCCCCCTACATACATCCTTATACAATTACAACACCACTATCCAATACCACCCTCATCATCCCCCATTTCTACCAACCACTATACATCTTATACTCCCACCCCCAACTAAGCCCACACCCACCCTTTTTAACTGCCCAATCCTCCATTCATACATCCCCCCCCCATTACCCTACCCCCCACTTTTCCATCCCCACCATTTATCCACCTTCAATCTTTATATCCTTAACACTCTATATAAACAAATATCTCCTACCTAAATATATCTTCCACCACACCATAACCCATTCTCCCTCCAACCCCACCCCTATCCTAAACTATTTCCCCAACCCCTCCAAAATAAACCCACACCTACTACCCTATCCATTCACCCTTAGTCACATTACTCTTACATACCAACTCCAACCCTTACCCCACACCCTCACACATTCCACCCCCAAATCTCAAATTCCCCCTCACCCTATACCCCCCACATTACTAATACACAATCCATATTCATCTCCAATACCCATTCTCTACTAATTCCTCATACCCCCACACCAACACAAACCACATATCCCATACTCCACTACTCACATATACCAACACCTAAATAATCTAACTCCCACACATTAAATCCCCCTCCCCCCCAACAATTCACCCTTTCTACTCTACTCACACATCATATTTATACAACTCCTTTTTTCTTTCCCCCCCCTCCTACATTTAACATTACCTCTCATTCACTTCCATCTAACACCCCCTCCCCACCCCCACTCCCTCCCTACCAAACCTTATACCCACCTCCCCCCTCCCAAACCCTCAACAAAACCATACCAACCGTCCTAAATCACTCATCCACCTCACCAAAACACCATAATTCCCTACCCTTCCCCCCATACTCCATTTAACCCCACTAAACAACAAACTTACCCCTTATACATTTTTCACAAATCCCCCAACCATCCCCCCAACATCTAAATCACATCCATACCACCCCCCATCTCCAACCCCATCCCTAAACTTCCCCCCATAACTCCTATTCACCAAACAACTTTAAATCTCCACTACCTTATTCCCCCAACCACCACATTCATCATTCACACCCCATACACCTACTCTTTCTCATTACCCCCTTCTATAACCCCAATTCAACTTTCTTTACATACTTTCCTCATCATCCCACCCTTCCCTACCCCCCCACCAAACCCACCCCCTCCTCTCTTCTACTAATTTTAAAACCACCCACTAACAACCCCCCCCCATCACCCAAAATCTACCCCAACCTTACCACATCCACTCAAACATCTTCATCTTTCCTCTAAATCTTCCCCCTTCATTTCTAAATACATCAAATATACCCACACACACCCCTCCCCCCTCCCATTCCATCACTAAACCCCATTAACATAATTCCTACCACCCTCCCACCCAACCAAAACCCTAAACCCCATCCCCTAACAAATCATCTAAACAACACACCTTCCAACAACCCAAAACATCCACCATACCACATAACTACAACCCCCATCCCTATAAACTACTTATCACACCCCTACACTTCCACCAAAACCATCCCCCAACAAATCCCCCCCCCTATCCACCACCCCATATCCCCAAATCCCCCTCCCAACCCTCCCCCCTCAAAAATATCATCCCCCCACCCTTACTTCATTTCTACATTTATCCTCTTTCCATTCCCCCAAACCACCCCATCCATACCCCCCCTCCCATAACCCAAACCCTCCACCCCACATATCCCACCCACCCCTAAAATTCATTACCCCCCCCCCCCCCCCCCTTCCAAATAATCCCACCCCACCCAACAATACCCCCCCCATACCCCCCAACAACCCATACTATAAACCTTCCTCTCATCCCAAAACCACACCATCAAATAACCCCACACCAACAACCTTACCAACAACACTAAACACAATATTCCCACCCATCCCACAAAACATAATCCCCAACCAAACCCCCAAATACTACCCAACAAAAATCCCCCCTAACAAACCCCCCCTCCAACCCTCATACTATCCCAAACCCAAAAATTAAATCACCAAACCCCCCTACATAACCCCCTATATCCCAATCTCACCCATAAAAACACCCCCTTAAAAATAACACCAAAACCATCTCAAATTCCTATACACCCAAATCCACCTCCTAACCAACACACCAAATCATTCCCCCCCCTTCCACTCCCCCCCCACCCATAACACATAAAACCACCCTCACACCAACCTCCAAAATCAAAACCCCCCTCAATCCACCACCCCTTCCCCTCCATCACACCCCCACCCACTAGCCAAATCCAAAAACCACCCAAATACCCCACACCCCAACCCACCCCCCATACAATAATAAAACATCCACTCCCCACCACCAAAAACAACAAAACAAACCAAACAAACCCTATACCCCCATCAACCCCCAACACCCTCAATCACTAATATCCCCCTAATACAAACCCCCCCAACCCCAACCTCCCTCACTAAATAAATCAATTAACCCTCCAAAAATTCCTCCTCCCCTCCCTTCTCTCCCCTCCTCCATCTCCCTCCTCCACCCCAACCTCTCACCCTACCCACTCCCCCCATTCCAATCACCCTACCCCCCTCTCCCATTCACCCCCTTCCCCCTCTTCTAACACCCCTCTTCCCTATAAAACAATAATTAACCCAAACCATACCAAAAATCCCCCTATTCATAATCTTCCCAAATCTCTAAATCCCTTACCTCCAAACCCAAACAAAACTCCCACATTATACCTTATTATACCTCACTCTATTATAATACCTACTCTCCTTACTCTTCACTCCCAACTACTCCTAAACACCCCCTAAAAACACCCAACAAATCTACCCATATCTCCCAACCCCCACCCCAAAATCCCCATCACCCTATTCAACCAAAATACTCCCTCCAAAATTCCACTAACACACTCCCCATACCACCCCAATCCTCTACCCCCCCTCCATCCCCACCTATATATAAACCCTTATACTTCTACCCCCCCAATACAACCCCCCCAAACCCCCTTAACATCAAAACTTTTCCCCCAAACACTCAACCCCCTTACCCAAAAAAATATTACCAATTCAAAACCCATCTCCTTAACCCAATATATTCCTCCCAAATCCCCCTACCCTTCAATATACCCAACCCCTCTCCCCCATTCTCTTTTCTTACATTTAAAATACCCTATCCCTCCATCCCCCCCCCCCCTCAAACCCCCCCCCCCCCCCCACCCCCCCCAAACCCCACACCCCACATCTACTCACTCCCCATCTATACCCCCATCATTACAATTATCCAATACCTCACCTCTATCCAAACAACCACACCCACCCCCCCCACCACTCCTCCCAAACCTACCCCCCAAATTCCATTCACTCCCACCTCAATATCCCCCCCTTCTTCCCCCATATCCCCCCCCATAACCCAACCATTCACACACATAAACACACACCCCCCCTACAACATATACACCCCTCTCTCCATATCTACTCCAACTTCAAAAAATTAACCAACCACAACCAACCCCCCCCTATTAACAAACCCCCCCTCAATAACATAACCTACCCCCATCCCCCTACACCCCCCCCCCCCCCCCCACATTTCCCCTCCCCCACCCCTAACCCCTAAACCCAACTCTCCAATCCTTCCCCCCCTACACCCACACAAAAAACCCCCCCCCCCCCCCCCACTACAATCCCCACCACTCAAACACTAAAACCCACATCCAACTACCTAACCAACCATACACAACCCCCAACACCCCCCCCAACTACCCACCATCTATTCAAACATTCACCCTCCCCACCCAAATCTTACCCCACCCCTCACAACCATCTTACCCCCCCCACCATCCTTCCCCAATTCCTACCCTCCAACAATTCATACCCCTCACCACCCTTCTCCTCAAAATCCCTCCAACTCATACCCTTCTTCTCCACCAAACAAAATTCCCCCCTCCCATACCTACCAAATCAACCAAAACCACCCCCCAAACATTCCTCCTAACCTTTCCCAACCCAAATAAACTCAAACCACCTATCAAACAAATACAAAAAAACACTCACCATCCCATCTCCCCACTAACCCACCAACTTATTCATACACCCCATTCCCTAACAAACACCAACACCACCTAACCCACCCTAACCACTACCCCACCCACCCCTCTCACATTCAACCCCCCTCCCTATATTCTCCCAAATCCACCCATTCCCCCCACCCATCATCAATTAACCCCCATAAACTCCTTTTTTCCCCCCCCCTCAATCCACCCCCCCAACCTCCTTCATCATCACCTTCAATAATATCCTCTTCATAAACATTCCCCCCTTACCACTAACAATTCCCACCTCCCTCCCCACTAATATTACCCCACACCAACCAACACCCCCTCACAACACTATTTTACATACTGAATTTCATTAAACACCACACATTAACCCCCCCCACATCCTACCCTCCCCCCCCCCCCCCCTTCCCCCTATCTCCTCTACTACCCCCCCCCCCCACCTTCCCCCTCCCCTACCCTATCAATCATTCAACATCCTCCCCCATCTTCCCAACCCACCTCCTCTCCTCACCCATCCCCTTCACCCCCACATTCATCCCAACCGATTCCATAACCCTTACATCCACAATCTTCCCCCCACATCCCTCCCCCTCTCCCCCTCAATCCCCACCCTCCCTCATCCCCCCCCTAACCCCATAACCACCCTCTTATTACCCTATCCCACCATCATACCCCCCACAACCCCCCCCTCTCCCACCCTTACCCCCCTGTCACCCTAAAACACCTCCCCCCATCTATCATCTATTCCCCCAAAAATAAACCATCACTAGTCCACATTCCCACCCCCCCACCCCCCCTCTCCACCCATTAATACTCACAACCCTCTCCCCCAACCCCCCTCCCAAATTCAATCTTTTCCCTTCAACACCCACACCTTCCCATAAATATATCCCCCACTTTACACCAACTCCACCTACCACATCCCTTCAACATCTCATCCATCTTACCCCTTCTATCCTCTATCACCATCACTCTCAAATACATAATGCATCGCTTCTTCTACACATAACCCAAATACTCCCCTATAAAATAACCCACCACATTTCCTCTTCACCCATACTATATCCTACATAAAAGACATTATATCCTTCTCCCCAACTAACAACAAATACACCACACCCTTCCCTACTCAATAATCTATCTTATCAATAATATCCATATTCTTACCCATACACCTAAAACCCTAACCTACTCATTCATCTCACTCCCTAACAAATCCCCTTCCCCAAATTCATCTCCCCCCTTCAACCTTACCCTCCAAATATTCTCTACCTTACACCAATTATATCTTTACCCACCCAGATTTCTTATCTATCCCCTCATCATATATCTCTCTTATCCTATCCATATCATCTCCTAAATTCCCCATCCATCATCCTAAAAATACATTCTTAAACACACCCATCCTGACATCCTTTTCCTCATTTTCCTCTAATAATAGTAAAAACCCACTTACCATACCCAAAAAAAATACCCTCACACATCTGCTACCTCCCAAACATCCATTGAATCTCTTCACTACCCACTACTCTTTTCCCTCCCCCCACTCCCATCCTACCCTTCCCCGTACCCATTCCACTCTAACCCTTCCCCTCCCCTTACCCCACCACCCCACCCCACATCAAAACCTCACTTCACCACCCAATAAACCCCCAATCCCAACCCCAATCATAACCCCAATATTTTATAACATACATATCCTCAAATTTACTCTCTATTCAATAAACTAAAATAAACCCCCCTAAAACTATCCCCCAAACAACCCCCCCACAATAACCAATTACACTCTCCACAACCAACCCAACCATACCCTTCAATTCCAACCTCAAAATACATCTCCACACCCATACACATATCCACACTTTACCCTCTACACATTACACCAACACCTCACCTAACCCAAAAACTCACCCCCCTCTACATACACCCTACACACAAAAAAAACCCACACTACATACACAAAAAAACCAAAACACCCCTTCTTAATTATCCCTTCCTCAAAATACCTTCCCCCCTATATCAATTCACCCCCCCCCTTAATTCCCCCATCATATCCCTACCCCTACATTCCATCCTCCTACCCCCCCCTCATTCCCCCCCATCCACAATCCCCCCTCCTAAATAATACATATATCCCTACATCAACCCAAAATAAAACTCTTTCCATACCAAACCACATACACCACAACCCCCAAAAATAACCCCCTTTCCCTAATCACAACCCCCTCAATTACCCTTCATCTATACTCCCTTTTCACCCCCCCATTCCCCCCCCAACAACCCAACCCACACATCCACATATCCCCCACATAATTTATCAACACCATCAACCCACACCAACACCTAATTCCATTTACCCCACAATCTAAAACAACCCCCCCTTATATCCCTTCCCCACCACATCAACCCCCACACCCATACCACAAAACCCACAACACACCAAAAAAACTCACACACATACCACACACCCACACACACACCCACAAACACACACACACCCCACACCAATACCCCACACACCCACAAACAAACAAAAAACACACACACCAACACACACCCCACACAACACTCACCCAACACACACCACACACACACACCCCCACACACACCACACACACCACACTTAACCCACAACACACCACCCACAAACACACACACACCCACACACACCCACACACACCCACTACATCACCCAACCAACCACACACACAAAAACACACACACTCAACACCAACCCACACACCCCCACTAAAACCCACACCCTCACACAAACCCACACCACTCTCACATACCACACACACCCACCCACACACTCACCCACATCACACCACACACCCCCCCACACCCCCAACCACCACACCACCCCCCACTTCACTCACACACTCACACATTATACCCCTCCAACATCCCAAAAACAACAACACAAACAAAAAAATTCAACACACAACAAAAAATACAAACCACCAAACAAAACCCACTTCCTAACCCAAATCCTTATAATTGAACCATAAAAATAAAAACCCTCATCTTCAACACCACCAACACATCCCCTTCACCCCCTATTCTCCACCCCCTATCCACACACACCATAACCCCCCTCTAACAACTCCCCATCAACCTCCCATAATTCCCATGCTATTCCTTACTCATCATATTACATAATTTCATAACAAATAATCCCAAATTTAACCCTCCCAAATTATGAATTAAACCATCACATCATCATATACCATTTATATTAACCTTCTACCTAAAAATCAACTTCCTAACATAAGTTTACACAACCCTAATACTTACTATCATACCCACACAACTACACCACTCTACAATATCAACCTTTCATAAATAACTTACCATCCCCCATCCACTCCCAGTATACCCTCAACCCCCCTCTTTCCCATCACCATTCTCATTACATATTATATTCAACAATAAATACCCAGTATTTCATTCCCAATATTCATCCTCCTATAATTACCTATCTCTCCTATCCACTTCTTCCCCCCCACCCACCCACATCCACTCCTCAAATTAATCATACATCCCCTACATACCATCTACTAAAGTTTTCCCTACTCGCATCTTCTTCATAATATTAAATAATAAACCCCCAAATTAACACCAAATCAATTAATCCCCAATGATACACATCATTCATCAACTAACACAATAGAACCAAACCCATATCTTATTACTAAATAATTTTTTTACTCAATAAACCTATAAAACATATCAACATACGTACCCATTCCCCAATTGAATCAACATCCCTTCTAACTTACAACACTTCATCCCATCCCTAACCCCACACACAACAAACCCCATATAACTATCCCATAACCCTACCCATACCAATATCCAACATATATTTTTCATCACACACATCCCCTCAAATACATACACCTCCCCTGAAACATTATCTTACACCATTACCCTACCAACATACAACACATAATAATCACCCAGCCCCCTCAAAAAAAATTTTATGCCTCAATACCAAACCTCCAACCACACTACAAAACCCACACCCACTAATTATTATATCTCTCTCTCTATCAACAATACCTTTCCCCCCCAAACAACCACATATTTACCTTACCATCACCTATCTCCATATCAAACATATGTCAATAAATATATTCACACCAGATATCCCATATAATTAAACTACAAACATTATTCAAATAGATTGCCTCCCACACATTAACAAAAACATTTACATAACTATTTTCAATCATATACACCTCTAACTTATAAATGTACTTATTATCATCCAATCAACCATACAAACCTATAAAAATATCCAAAGTATACCCCTTTTACTAAAACATCACAATAACCCTATCCCTAAAACCCCCCCCACACCACACCCCCCCCTAAAATACCCGACACCCATATACTTAATCCCTCCCCTCCAATAAACCCAAAAATTCCACCCCACCCTTTATAAACTAATGTTAAATCCCCCCCCCCCCCCCCACCAAACCACACAATTTCCCACCCACTCCACGTTCTAACCCTCCAATCCTCACTACCCCATAATCATATCTCATATTCTATATGTCGTTACCACAATACCCCATTTCACATCATGAAACAGCCCTTCATCCCATTTTGACATGACCACTTGTCAACCCCCTTACAGCCACACATCCATCTATCATTACTCAGAATGAACTCTTATTTAATACCTGAAACTATTACACTACATTAAACCATACATAACAAACAACCAAACCCCAACACATAATAACAAAATTCCCACACAACCTACAAATAAAATCACCCATCAAACTTCCACAGCCCCACATACAATGTGTACCCCAACCACCCTTCCCCATCATCTCATGCAATACACCCAACACCACACCCCCCTTAAACCCCCCCTATCCACCCCTCCCCAAGCCCAAAATTCCACAATCTGCTTCAACGCCCACTCATGGACAGAAAAGTACCTGTCTCCAGTGGCGCTAACTGTTGGTACTTATCTTATTATCTCATAGTAAATCACCCTATATTATCCATTACCATTAATAAATTAGACATCCTCCTCATATAACCCTACAATTACAACAAAAACTCCTTTCAATTCAAAGTACAACTACATATTTCATACCAAACAAAAAATAAATCACCCACCCCAAAAACAAACAAAAAATAAACTTATCATCTTTACCATATTTACACCTAGCAAGCGTGATCCTATCGATAATTAATTAAATGATCTGCTATAATTCACTGCTTAGTTAAAATCTAGGTATAATGTTATATCTATACTAGACATATACTATATGTATTGAAATAGAAGTATCATGCTTTAGTGTTATCTATGTGATCGATTAGATATGTACGTGTTGAATTCACAAAATCTAGATTGTATAGTATTTATATCTGAAAGCGTGAGTAGCGAGTTGCGCTATAATTAAATCATATCTGCTATGATGATATGATATAATTAACGCTATGATATATCTCTAACGATTTTTACGAGATATCTATCTATATTGATATTTATATATAAGTAACGTATCCATTG